ATCGTTTTTCCACGAGGAGCAGCCATGACCGCGAGGAGCAGCCATGGCCATGGCCATGGTCGCATGGGTTCTGTTGAGTTATTTTATGTTTTATGGAAGACATCAAACATTATTTGGGATCTGTTGAGATCTACTGCTTTTATCACTCCTATACTCAAATATAATACAAAATAATTAATAATTTCTTCATGAAAGAAGCATAAGGTAGCATGGGTTCTGCGGGCATACAAGACAGCAAACATGCGGCCATGATATTTTTTTCATGATAATTTCTTCATGATATATGTTTTTATTAATCTGAAAGTAAAAATTTTAATTCTAGATCAAAAAATTCATGCACAAACTGTGCTCTGATACCACTATTGGATTATTTAACGATCTAGACATGAATAGTTGAACTAGAAATTCAGATTAAAGTTATCATTCACCGTCGAAAACAATGGAAGTCTTCTCCTCTTTCCTTTCGTAGCCAACGATGAGAATTTGGTCTCTTTTCTGTGTACGGTTGAGAGGAGGAACTCCCACTCTTAAATAGATATTTATGATTAACCCTACCCATCATGATTTAATCACAACCGTGGGATTACACTCCGATCGATCCTATTTTTTAGATATTCAAGATAACCGTCCAACTTGATAAACATGAAACTATTTAACCAGACTATGTGGTTAGCATACTGATCCTAACTTGAATCGATGACAACTTTAAATCAAATACAAAAACGAGTAGGTTGGGCCACATGGGTTCGTTGGATTAACCGAACCCAACAGAAATATCTAATGATCTTGCTTCAGAAGGTGCAACATTGAAAAATGAGATTGTACAGCTTTGGTGGTCTAACATGAGACCACAGTGTAAGATGTTGTGTCCTATTAGAATTTCTTCATATGAAAATTTTCATATATAGATGTTAACAAGTTTTAACATGACCAATTTTAGAAAAAGAATTGGCACTTAGAAATTTCTGTCTTTTTGAGGTTTATCTCTTTTTCATCTATAACTTGTTTTCTCTTGTGGGATCCAGTCATGTCAAATGCCAATTCATCCAATCACGCCCAACAGCCTTATGGATTCAATCTGTTGGTCCGTATCTGAACCAACTTCAACTGCACGTATTTATACTGAATCCTCCAGTACAGACGACGCCACTGAGCAATATACCTCTATGTTCTTCGATGCTCGAGCTGATGGGAGAGATTCTGAAGTATTATTGGACAATTTCTCACGTCCACTTAGTGAGAGGTACTTAAAATTGGGAGGAGGAAAAAAATCCTGTAGAGAGCCCTCTATAGAAAATCATACGGGCAGATAGGGATCAACACATCAGGCCTAGTACGAATTTTGACGCACACATTGCTATAAGCTATCATCAGGTCAATTGGTACTATCAATGTGTGCATCAGAAGTCGTGATAGGCCAGACGCCTTCAACCCTATCTCCCAATATGAATTTCTAAAGAGAACCNGGACAGTTTATGAACTTCTGGCAGTTATTCTTCTCCTACTTTTGCTTGAACGGCTCATTCTTTTTGTTACAGTGAGAAGGGGGAAGTTATTTTTAAAAACCACTTCCTTACTATACTTTTTCCAGTTGACCGGTTTGGTGAACTTGGACCTTCTTCAAGAACATTCTTTAGCAATGGTGGGTTTTCATGCTTACAAGTCTTGGATTACATCTACAACTTTTATCAGGTATGTTTAGAGCTAACTCTATGTTATATATACTTATTGACATCTAGAGCTAAACAGGCTGTCTCACTAAATTTTCAATGCATATTACTGTCAAATGGTGGCAGAACCTGGTGCATTTGAGGAAATTCAAAATATAATGAGCATGCGTTTTGGAAAATACACACGAAAGAAAACAATTTTTTAGGTTCATATCTGATTTCTGATATGCATAACTTCAAGGTTGTCAGTGTTCTAAGTCTCGTATGCTGCACCAAAATTTCGAAGTTATGGTAAACATGGAGGGCTATAAATTTATACACTAATTCATCTTCATATACTTTGATCATCTTTCTTAGCAATAAAAACTTCGGACATTGCATCATGATAGTTTTCTCATTCGGCTATTGAACAGGCACTTAGGAACTTGGGTTGATCAAATGTCATCATATATGCTCACTATCCTATACCTCCAAGGTTATGGCGAGGGTCAATGGTTATAATATATAGACTAACAAATGTTTGTAATTTTATCTTTCAAAAGGAAATATACATAATTTTGCCTCTTTTTGTTTGATTTCCAGCAAAACATGGCCGCTGAAGAAATAGATATGGCGATTCACACTGACTCAAGACATGCTGATCGACTTCGGTCACTCTATGCTAGCAAAGAATCGGTCGATCTAGGCTTTGTGTCATTCAAGAGAATTGAATTTCTTGGAAGCAGAAGAAGTTTTGAAGCTTTGAAGCGGGTTAGCGGGGAAAATAATAGTAACTTGTACCAATTACTGATTAGAGCTTGATTTGTCTGTTTCCTTGGTCTCTCTGTATTACGTTGTACCTTCGATGTAAACTTCTGTATAAATAAGGTCAGGATATAGTGTGCATAACAATAGCAAATTATACCAATTACTTGTTAGAGCTTGATTTATTTGTTCCGTAGGGAGATGATCTTTGTTATGTTGTGCGATTGATATGAGCTTCTGTGAATATAATAAGACCACGTTATGGCGTGAATTAAAGTTTTCTTCGTTTTACTTGTATTTCATCCATCAGTTGATAGCATTTTGCAGACCTATAGCCGATCTCAGGTATCATTTGTTCCGTAATGCAATGCGGCACTATGCAGGCTTTAGAGCTAGGACTGATTTCAAATCGTAGCTCTACATATTGAATAATATAGGAAACTTTATTCTTGATCTTTACCTAAAGGCTAGTAAAATAGTAGCGCTAAGGTTATATCTAATCCAATCCGGAGTCCTAAAAAAATTCAGATTTAGTTTTGCGTCTTTTGTTACAAGAATATCAAATTCCTACAGGTTTTTTTGTACAATCCTCATCCCACTTTTGAAGCGGGCTTATCTTGCATCTTGTTAGTCTAAATTGAGAATAAGAACAAAAATTGTCCAAGAAATAATTGCAGTTACAGATGCGATGAGTGAATTGACCGCTTCAGTTGTATAAACAAAATAGCCTCTATGCTGGAGTGAATCACAAAGCCCAGATACTCCAACATTGTCAGTGTTTCTTTCCCTGTTTATTTCTGATTCTGGAACTTCAGAATAAGAAGGTTTTTCTGGGGGTGACGAGATTATTGCATTTGTATGAATGTTCTCGATGTTCTTGGCAATATCTGGAGAAGTGTTGGCATTAAGCCGGTCACATATTTGCTCATAATTTGAAGAAGATAGCCACCTAAGTGTGGCAGCAACCTGAGAGTTGTAGAATGTTTTGCCAACTTTCTCGTATCGCTTGAAGCATTCTGTTTCCAGGAAGGTACTGGATGTCTCGATATTAGGCCTGGAGAGAAATGTCAAATACGATAAATCAATGTAGCGTTTACCAAGAAAAATAGATAAAAAGGGTAAATTTAATAAAACTACCATGTACTAGTAGCCGTTCTGCACAAAAATATCAGAAACTTTTAGATCAGCAGAAAACACCACAAATTATTAACAAAAATAAAATAAAATAAAATAAATCCTTGAATAAAGTCAGTAAAACACAATGGTTTTTCAGACAAAATCGCTAGAATAGTTTATGATATTTTTGTGCAAAAAATTTAAAAGTTCATGGTAGTTTTGTGAAATTTATCCCAGAAAAATAGGCAAAAACAGACGAAGTGAGCATCTGCAAACACTTCGTTGCAGGGTAATAATTGGTGAGAGTTGTTATAGAAAATACAATAATATTGCTAAGCACATCAGACAAGCTTTAATGAAAAAGTTGAATGGCATAGTGATGAGAAAGGTTCAGATGATCATGATCAGACTTTACCATATAGCCATCCTTTAAATGCACATTATCAATATATGCTGGTGAAAAAAATGTAATGTTTTAAGCTGCAGGAGCTTCTTAAAAGTTCAACAAGTAATTGAGATGAAATTGTTCTAAATCACATACTTGTAACTGTGAAAGCTCTTCTAGTACACCCTAGGGAGTAACTTTCAGATTTTTTGCACAAAAATAACCAAAAAACCCTATCACAATATTAAATTAATTTTACTATGAGCTAAAGCTTTCTGCTACATTAACATGAAGTTTTGAAAGATTTCTCTCTTAAGGTGAAACAGAAGGACAATATACTTACAGTTGTTCTCCAAGCCGTTCTTGGGCCTGATTCAGAGCAGTCAACAACCTCTTCTTGCTTGCTTCTCTTAATGTGTCAGATATGATTTTCTTGTCAGAAAGGCCTTTGCTCTGTCATTTCATTTACAAAATTTACCGTTGATATACCCATATTTTACTAGAAAGATCAGCAGCATATGTTGCTGGTAACTAAGTTTCCAAAAGTTTTTAGTAGCTCTCAACCTACTAAAGGAAAACAAACAACTCAACTGACCTTCTTCGGGAGTTGATCTTGATAATAAGCCTCCTCTGCTTGCTGCAAAGCTTCAAATTTCTCATCAAATCCTGCTTTAGATGACAATTTTGATCTAGCCAGACTGTTTATTGCATCTGCTTCATCTGTCTCATAAAGAAACGGTATCACTTCAAAGAACTCAAAAAAACCAAGAGAATAAATGAACGGAAAATATGAGCATTCATATAATGGTTCACCCCAAGGAAAATAGCAATGTTGCGCTGCTAACCAACTGATAGAGGGAATACTTGCACTTCAAGAAATAATCACCATTACAATTCAGGAACTAATTCTAAAATAAGCAAAATGCTATAAGAACATTTTCTATTATATGCATGCAAGTGTTTGCTCACCTAGTCACTTGCCACGGAGGTCTGACAATGACAAATTGATGGGTTGGATCATATGAGGTCCTGGATTAAATGTTGGCTGATGACTTTTGTTTGGAAAAGGTTATGACGCCAGTCAATAAAGATCCAAATAGAATGCATATGCAACATTATAATGACAATTCAAAATGTTTGAATGCATGATAATATTTGGAATCTCTAGTATTTTACATCATTAAATAAGATAACCGAAGTTGTCAACGATGAGTACATGTAACCATGAGGGAAAGTACTCTTCTTCATATTCAACTTTAAGTAACTCAGCTACACCAAATGGAAATTGTTAGGGTCTCGCTCATCGTTCTAAGTAACCAGTGATGCTTTTGTTCCAGCCTTTCCGTAATTAAGAACAAATTCTACATGATCTCCAAAATTCATGTACAGCTAGAAGAAGTAAACAAATTAAGGTCTCTATGGTATATAATTTTCCGATATATAGCTTTGAAGATATCAGGAGAGTTATTATGCTTCACAGACAGTAGTCACAGTACTAAACAGTACAACAAAAGCTTCGTTATTAAAGATTTAAGAATGTCCGGATGAACTCACCTCAACAAATATTTCTATCTCCAAAGTTGAGACATGAAAAAAAAATAACTACTTTGCCAAACTTCAGGATTACAAAGGGAACATTACCATCAGTACTTGATATATCTTCATCGGAATCACTTGCCTCATCGTCTCGATTCCAAAATTCGCAGTCCAAGCCATCGTAAGAGGCAACCGATGCGCTGCAGAAAAGTAACACAGTGCAGAAGTTCATATTAAGATTTCTCTCATATAACATTATTTTTCCTTTTATGCCTATAAAGTTGAGAAGGTCTTTTTTTTCCGTCAGTGGCAGACTGCAGTCTTTTTCTTTTTTTTTCTTTTTTTCCTGTGACTGCTGCATGATGGACCCAAAAGGCCAACAAATATTATACAAAAATAAGATATGATACTAGGAGATCAAAATTGAAAAGGATTTGTCACAAACCAAATTTGAATATATAAAAGAAAATGTTCACATTCAATGACATGAGTTGGAAGAAAAGTAATTATAATTAGTATAGATTAATAATATTCACAATTTTATAAAGCTGCACAAACGCAACATACGCCCTGATGGGGGAAAAAAAATAAAGAACAGGTTAGGAGAGTGTCACCTAGTTTACATTACCAACAAGTAACCTAGTCCCAGAGATTAAACAGTAAACAGTATGAACTTGCATTCAATGTGGGCTAACAAAATCTGCTATTCTGCTTCAACCTTGGAAAATTAGTCCAGATTAGACTTTAGAGGCATAGAACAATACATTGACCATTTTCTTAATCCTACTCAAAGCCAAACTGCCAAAGTACATAAAATTACTTAAAACTTGACTATTTAGTACTTCTTAATTTGTTTTACATTCTGTATTTGGCCAATAAAGAAATTTGCATTTGCATATCGCAACATTTCGACACTGTCAGTGGTGAAAATTACCTTTTAATAAATACTGGAGCAAGTCCATCCTTCTTGTCAAATCTCGGGACTCTATTAAGTTCTTCTAGTCGCGCTGATACCATATTTGGATGCTTGCATGCATCGCATGTTTTTTGACAAAATGATGCAGAAACCTGCTTTGACGACAAAAAACATTCATTTATGAAAAAGTGCATATGATATCAAACTTAGGCCACACAGACAAAAAACTGACTGACCAAGTAAACACAAAATGGATAAGATAAAGTTTTGATACCTGTTCTCCAAAATTTTCAAGTATCTTTTTCCGACGGCAACCAAAGCCTTCACAATAGTCCACCATCTGCATGTACTCTGATGTTAGTTGTCTAAATAGATGCGTAAATTTATTCCTAAAACTGTTTTTCCATACGATTGATGCACCTGTTTGAAGTCTGCTAGAGATTTCTTTGACAAACTATTTGAGGAACTTGAAGATTGTGATTTCTTGCTGACAGCAGTACCCAAAATGAACTCCTACCAAGCAAAATATGCCATCCTATATCTTTAATAAATGTTTGAGATAAATTTTGAACACAGTTAGAGTTACCATTCTTTTTCGGTCATCCAAGCCATAGTAGAGAACACTCCTTGAAGGTAACTGATCACGACCAGCTCTTCCGGACTCTTGATAGAACGCTTCCATTGATTTTGGGATATTAAAATGACATACAATGCGCACATCCTTTCTGTCAATTCCCTACAAGTACAGACAGCATCAAACTAAGGCAGTGGTGAATGGTTAGCAGTAAGCAAATTCTTTCATCAAAAGATAAAGAAACAAATAATGTGAAATTCATCCAAAGCAAGAAAGTTCATACCATCCTGCAGCAGCAACAGTAAGTACCTCATCATTCATGAACTGATCCCAAGTGACCTCACAAAGTAACAAATCAAACCAATCAGCGTGCTTCAGCATCATTCATGAACTGATCCCAAGTGACCTCACAAAGTAACAAATCAAACCAATCAGCGTGCTTCAGCTTGGTAAGCAGATGAGTGATCCCAAGTGACCTCACAAAGTAACAAATCAAACCAATCAGCGTGCTTCAGCTTGGTAAGCAGATGAGCATATAATCTTACATACAAATCACAGCGTCAAATTTATATTAAAGGATTATAAAGAAGTTTCAGGAATGCAAGGAAGATAAGGTAGCAACTTTTAGTCAATTAACTTCTGGGCATGCGGCCTATAGGTTATGTTCCTCTGTCAGATATGGGCTAAGTATACAAATGAAGGGCATTTGACAGCCCTTATGTTTGTCCAAGGACTATGTACTTCATACAGATGGAAGAAAGCAAAGGCTTCAGGAAGCCAGCCTAAGAAGTTTGGGATGGTGCTCTTGTTGTTGTCAGTGTGACAAGATATCAGTGTATCATAAGCTGTAGCTAATTAAATCTTTACGTGCAGAAAGGAATACTGTATTAATCCTTGTGTATGATGGCTTTGTTATTGGCTATGTTGATGAATTAAGATCCTTGGATTTTTTTTTTCTTTCAGCATTTTACCTGTACTGTGCTGTGCATCTATGCCATGAGTTACCAATTTGATGATCTCAATGAAGCTCTGCCATCTCCCTTCCAACAGATGGCCACATTGTTTAAATGAAGAAAACTTAAAAAGGCAAAGTAATCAATTTATTTACACTTCAAAAAATGCAATCTTACAATGATCAGTTAGTAAATATACACTGTCTAAAAGCTAGCATCTTGATTCCTGAGGTTCATTTTTTTTACTGTATCAGCTATGAGCCTATGAATCTGTGATTCTGAGAAAGAAGGCTTGTCACGCCCCAGGCCCGCGAGCCCGTTGGCGCGATATAAGCCATGGGACCCATCGAGTGTAAAACATTGTTTGGCTATATCCACTACCAAAAAATGCTAGCACTTTGTTATACTTGAGCCTTGGGCATATCTATTTAAGCCACTCAAACATCTCACATTCCCGATGTGGGACAAAACTTGGGGGTCTCACAAGGCTAGCTGCCAACTCTTAAAAATGGTACATAATATTGATCTTTTTCTGCAACGTATAGAGATGAAACTGGCATCTCTCTGCTATATAGATAGGATGGAGAAGAAAGCTCCTTTTAGAAAGAAGGCAAGTATTTTGATGTATTGGTACATAAACCAGGAATAGACGACTGGAAGTTCTAAGAAGGAAGAAATGGCTAGCAAGAAAGAAAAGTAAAAATAAACAAAACCAAAGATGTATGGATAATAGTACCCGAATGCCACTGTTGCCACGACAACCTGTATTTTACAAGAAAGCCAATCATCTAGAACTTCACTTCGCATTTTGTTATTCAATCCTGCATGGTAGGCTAGATAAAAGAACAACTACCTAAATGAGAAAAACCATGTGAAGCAAGATAATGAACAATTAATTTGTAGATTTATCTGAACATACCGGCTGAAGAGATACCATTTTTTGACAGATGAACAGATAGGTCATTGCAAGTAGAACGTTCAAGACAGTAAACAATTGAGCATATATTCCCGCTAGATTTGAGAAGACTTGAAAGATCATCATAAACATTTTTCACAAGGTCTTTATACCTAACTGCATTTAGAAAATATAAGCTAAAGCTTTAGTGTCATGAGATAAACCAGCAGACACTAGTAAAAGAATAACTTGATAGGTGGGATGAGTTTTCCTCTTCCCTTTCTCTTTTCCCATGGATCATAGTAAAAGTTGGCTTCAATTTATAAAATACTACGCTTTTTCAAGCAGTTAGAGCTGAAAACTAACAACCTAAACTTAAGCAAGAAATATGAAAGATATATGCATAGAAAGTTTAAGAGGAAATATTGCGGTCAAACAAATAGTTACCTCTTTCATCATATATCTAGATGTAATACACATTATACTTTAAGGAAAAAAAATAGAAGAATGAGGTTTATATCCTCTCCATAGAATGGTATTGTTAAGATTATTAAAAACACCGTAGCATTACCTTCATAAAATATATTAGCACGATTAAATGATGCTCTGAGGATTTTAGGTTGGTGCAGGTTCAATGATTCTATTACATCCTTTTCAACTCTGCATCATAACAAATGGGGGGATTGTAACATCAGTTAATTGATAATAGTGTCAGAAAGAAATTGAGAAACTGTGGTAGTATGAACTAAAAATCTAACATATTAGAGTTAACTTCTTGGGAATCAGCATCTTGCTCTCCATAGTTAGAAGATGAGAAGAATGACGAAGAGGTTAACATCAAGTACGACCAACAGTCGGACTTGCAAATGATATAACTGTAAAATTAGCCAGCACGAAACAGACTACTGGGAAAACAATTGGATGCAATAAAAATCAAAGCCTGAAATGAGGACATGCTATCGTATTATGTCTTATTTATACAAAGAAGAAAAAAATAATACAGACTGCAACACCATACTGGATGAATGAAAATTGGAATAGATGATATGGGAATGTGTTATACGTGTCATAGCTATCAAATATTATTAAGACTATAATGAGATACCTCATCGTTTTTGTGTGCATCACAATGTTATATAGTAAGGAAATCACGTAAATAAAGATGAGCACAACCCAAAAGATAGCACACAAAGAGTTGCATGGGAAGGCCATTATTTAAACAAATTTTATACTTTATTAGCAAAATATTAGTAGTAGCAAGAAGGATATGGTTGGAGGTTCACAAAGAGCACTTCATGTAATTGTAATCTATCTACAGGCAAATTATTTTAAAGAGAAACATAATGACATGGAAATCAAACTGTATAGTATGAACTATCAGAAAAGACGATAGAAGGTCAAGAAGCAGTTATACAAAGTGGCAATCTCAGGCTCTCAGCATTTACTTATGGTGTCTAAGGCTTTAAGCAGATATCTGCAATGAAGCAGGTACCATAAGGAGGATTTCTATACGGTGTTCAGATTGTTATTTGTGCTGTGTATTTATGTTTCAAGATTCACCGTGGAGATACCAGCAGAGAAGGAACTCGCTAAGAAGATGCTTTTGGAAATGTTTGGACTTTGGAGGCATAAAGGAATTGCCTGATAAAGGAATTGCCTGTCAAGTGTACTTCGATGTTCATAGCACATCTTATCTGACCCAGAAAGAATTTTACACTAATAAAGAAAATGAGTGGTGAAGAAATATATAATATATAGAGTGGGTATTGGTTTTGGGCATGCATGAGAGGGCTAGAAGAATTAAACAATCAAAGCAGGGAAAAAAAACTTACAGAAAAGAGGATCTTAAAGAAAAAAGAAGTAATATTTGATTCTTGATTAGAATGATACATGGCATAGTACATTTCTATAGTTCTTCATACATTTTTCTTTCGAATTTCCCAAGTAAAAAACTCATGGACATTGGATAACAGACGGCATGGAACTCACTTGGGAACAGCTGTAGCTGTCAATGCCAGTATCGGCACATTCTGAAGTTGACTCCTCAAAGATGATAGTTTGCGGTAGCTGGGTCTACATTAAAGCAATTGAAGGCAACTTAGGTAAGAGCAAAAACGATGGAAATGATTATGGCATCAAAGCAAAGGTTTCCCAAAATGAATTTTCAATTTTTTAAAACAAACCTGAAATCATGGCCCCATGTTGAAATACAATGTGCCTGAAAAGAGAAGTGCAATTTACATTTGAGACTTAGAAGGCTGACATGAGTTAAAATCAACTTTTGGCCATCTGAAATCTGACATTGACAGTTAAACCTCATCAATGGCAATTAGACTCAGCAAGCCTCTATTGTAAAGCTTTCTTAGTGTAGTCGCGAACCCTTTTGTTGCAACCAACTCAGGTGTGACATACAACAACTTAACAGAAGGTTTTCCAGAGTTGAGGTCTTCATGGATCTGGGAAATAAAATGTAATAGAAACGAAATGTCAACCATAAACCTAACTGAAATTTGGAAGTCAAAACTAAGTATCCAGTGCATCAAGAAATTGGAAAATTGCTTATAAAAGATGTCACACCATAATGATTCCATAATATAACATGACATGACATGATAGACATATTGATTCAAATTTAAAAGAGACCTTGCATAGTCAATAATTTTAGCCTATGTACCATTAGTACCTATGGTATCCAGCTCAACGGTTCAGACCTACTTCAACAGTAAACAGTTAAGTGAAGAGCATGTACCTTCTCTTTGGTGCGAGCAGTTTGAGTTGAAGACAAAAATTCAGCAGAAATCCTTCTTTTCTTCAATGTAGTAACCTGGTTTTCCTATAAACAGACAGATATCATAACTTATATTGCGCTAAAATTAATTCATCAAAAATTTTAGAAAGAACTAAAGAAATTGACATGTTTTACTTACCATTAGTGCTGCCACAGAATCACACAGACAGAAGCAAATTCATTAAAATATATAAGCTAGAAATGATCCTGATTTAGCCAAATTTCGATCAACCCATGAGCTTTCAAATATGGAGAATCAAAAGATGGCATTCACCAATTAAAGGAGAGACCACAAGCACAATTCCCGGCTTTGCCAGTGCAGGAATCTGATAGCACATTGATTTTCCTCCTCCAGTCGGCATGAGACAGAAACAATCCCTTCCTGTAACGAAAAAATTATTACAGATTTTCTGGTCTCAACAAACTAATACTCAAAGCTATACTTCTCAATCTTATATCCCACGAGGCAAATTGTGTGAATATAATAAACGGAGAGCTACTGCAAAGGATAGAGCAGAAATTTGATGACTGTGCACAAATATTTTATATTATAGCATGTAGAGCCACAACAACTTGAATCGAATTGAATCGAAAAATGTGGAGTTCATATTTGTGTTCGTTTAAAATCTTTTAATTTGAATACAAATTCGAACACAAATGTCCTTCAAATATTCGTCAAATACTTATGGAACATTAACTATATTTAATATTTATTTTATACATTCTGCCATTATGAATAAAACTATTTAATTTAGCAGATACATTCATTTGATTAACAAGATACTTTCATTCAGCTAAAGAGTTTAATTTTTTAAATGGGATCGACATTCATAATGGAAATCACACCTTTATAATTATGATGTAAATTGATAATCTGAATATTAGGTTAAACTCAACTTTAGGCTCTTAAGTCTCTCAAAATGTAGCATAGAATCAAAAGATTCAAAACTCAAAAAATATGTCAACAGGGTAAAAACATAACATCATTTGTGTGAAGGCACAAGTTACTCGAGTACAAGTTTTAAAGGGATATTTGATAAGCAAATGAATTGACTACATAAGTGCCGATATTTGATTCATTTAATATTCAAATGCCATAAATTATTCGGTTTCTCTTAAATGGTCTCCAGAATGGAATTTGAACAAACCATTAGACGAATAATAATCAAAGTAGTTAATAATTAGGATAAATTACACTAAATCCCCAAGAACTTTCAGCATTTTGCACCAAATCCCAAATAACTTTCAAATTCACACTAAGCCCCTGATGAGTTTTGCAGAAAACCCCTGATGTTTTTCTGGTAAATTATACTAAACCCGCAATATCCTTCAGCATGCATTCAGACTATAAGATAAAAACAACCTGATAGAACCGTTTGAATGGCTTCCAACTGCTTTCCTCTAAACTTTGAATGACCAAAATGCTGCTCTAAAAGCTTCTCGAGCTCTTCCTGTCCGTACATTTGCCTCTCGGAACTACTCAAAATTTTCACTGGAAGGAGAGATTTCTTCATCCTAAACTGCATTACCCAAATTAATGCATTAACTAATACGCATACATGATTGAGTCCTCAAAGTAATGCATTAGAGATAAAGCTTAATGCAGAATCTCAAACCACAAGAAGTGCAAATTTTTAGACTTTCATTCCTAAAAATACCCAACACCAAAAGATCTCAGCCCTAAATTACATAAAATCAATCAAAAACTACACAATTATTTACATAAATTGTTTTCGAATCAAGTGCTTACATATAATTCCAATAATTTCCAAAGTAATGCATTAGGGATAAGCTTTAACCAAATCTCTAACAAGAAAAGTACAAACCTTAGAATTCATTATTATATCAAAATTTCCAGCAACAGAAGAATCTCAGCCCTAAATCACATAAAATCAAGCAAAAACTACACGATTCTTTCACAAGGCGTTTGCTAATCAAGTGCTTACGTCTAATTCCAACAATCTACACACTTGACGATCTTAATTTTATCGGGAAAATGCAACGCAGTTTCTCGACTTGCAGATTGAGCCTAAAAACTCGAACTTTATCACAGACATCAACTAAAACAAACAAATACAAATAAAGATCAGGGGCATTATCGAAAATACCTGCAGTTTTGGGGGGGGAAGAGAGAGGAGGGAGAGAAGAGGACACAGAGGGGAGCTACGAGATATATTGCGCACGGGAAAACGGGAATGGAGGTGATGGGTAGTTTAGTCATTTGACATATTTCTACTTGAGGGCCGGGTCCGTTCTAGCATGGTTCTATGGCCTGGACAGGACAACCTGAACTCAAACCCGGACCCATCATCTAACGGTTAATGGTACGCCAGTTTTGCTCCAAACCCGATTTTATCCTTCCCTCGTGGACGCCGCTACAAATGTAAAATTTAATAAGTATATCTGTACTTGCAAGCAGATAATAATAATAATAATAAAGAAGATGGATAATGCTTAATGTACTCCAAATCATATATTATTTTAGGGAAAAATGTTTTAAGGCCCCAAAATATTAAATGGGATGTGACTAGCCCCCCCCCCCCTTTTTTTTTGGTGTCAAAGCCCCAAATACAAGAAACACTTGTGTTTCAGCCCCTTTTTACTTTTCCAAGATAACACAGTGAGCCATTAATTAGGAACACCTAAAATACCCTCAACTCCTTCCCCTTCCTCTCAAGACCTTTCTGGCTTCTCTCCCTCTCGTCTCTTCTCACGCTCAAACCTCCGTGAAATTGGGCGGAGGCGACAACGAGAAGAAGCCGCCACCGTCGGTGAACGTGTGCGGACGAGGGAGGAAAATTTGCTTCGATGGCGCTCTGGATCCCATCCTCCTCCATAATCACTGATACCTCCTGCCGCCTCGGAGGTGACCTGACCGCGGCCACCGACACCGAAGCCGATCTACTCTTCCTCAACCTCCTCTAAAACCGAAGGTATCACCTAATAAGCTCCCTCTATTTCTCCCTCTAAAACCATTTTCTTCATCCTCCGAGCATTCTGGGATTTTCAAAAAAAAAAAAAACATTGGCGACTAAGAAAGCCTAATCCCCGAGGCAGGAAATGGAAGCACGTGGCGTCGACTTCCGCCCTCGCACACTTGAAGACATCTTCAGGGATTACAAGGGCCGATGGACTGCCCTTGTCAAAGCTCTCACCATTGGTAAATTTTTTATGGATTCGATTCGTTACATTTTCTTTTTCTGATTTTGGGAATTTTTTTTTACTTCTCAGAGATTTCTAATAAAGATGTGTGCTTTGTTTTTGTTTCCTTGAGCAGAGGATGAAAAGTTCTATTGTCTCTGTCGTCCTGGTGAGTTTGAATCTGTCACGGTTGGGTTTGTATCGTTTTAATTTTGAAATTGAAACTTCCCCTTTCTTCCTTTAAGAGAATTTCACTTCTATATTTGCCGGGTTACTTGATAAAAATCGAGATATCTAAGAGAAGAAGGAAGAAAATCAAGGGTCGAAATTTGATTGTACGATTGATATTTTTGGGTGAGTTGTAAATTCTTGATGACTTGTAACTTGGGTGAGCACTCTTGAAAAGTTGAAGGGGGCTCTCGTTGGGGGCACGATTTGATAAGATGATAATTCTTGCGACATTTGAAGGAGAAAATGAGGTTGATTGGTATTAGAAGTTAGATAGAGGGATCAAATATTTGTAGGGTGTTTCGCTATTAGTTCGCCAAATCTTCATATTCTGAAATTTGTTCCCCAAATCTTTATATTATGAAACTAGTTTCAGAAATCCTTTTACATGATATTCATATTCCGTCATCTCTCTTGTCACGCATGTTTGATCGTATGTTAAAGCCGTCCCTTGCGAGCAACAGTCTGAAATGTTAATATTTCACAAATTTGATCTTTTTCATTTTATCCGGCATCATATATCTAACTAGTTTGTTACTTTATATCATGCAGTTTTGATTGTGGAATTTTTCCCCCCTTATATGTGAAGGCTATAACCGATTGGGGTGAATACGAATCAAGTAACTACTCCTGATGCTTAATCTGATGTCATTTGTGGGAGGCTAGCAGCTGAACTTCTAATAGAAGGATGACAACAGAAGAATCAAGCAGAGACATTTGATAAGGATGAGAAAAAGTTGTTCTAAAAATTGATTGATTGAACCAAAACTTGTGTGCATATCTGTATTGTGTATATTTAGTTTAGTTGTGTAAACAATCGATGTGGATGACAAACAATGTAGCAAGTTTGACCTTTATTGTTCTTATTGTATTTTCTGATGTGGATGACAAATAATGTAAACAGTAACATAACTTTCATAATAATTTGTTAACTTTCTTCGTAACATGTTAACTTTTATCATAATATGTTAACCTTCACTATTACATGTTAACTTTCACCATAATATGTTAACTTTCTTCGTAACAGTAGGGTGTAAATTTGATTTCCCGAAAACAGGGAGTTTCGTTTGTATTGACAAGAAAGCTTATTACAAACTAATAATCAAATGTTTACAACAGAAGCAGAGGGAATGCCCTCTTTGTTTTGTGTGGGGTCTTTAGGTGGCTATAGGACGCTTCGCTCGATGCTTGTGTCGAGTCTGCTTCCCTTGGACCGTTCGATCGAAGTTGCTGGAGAGCTTCAGTACACAGTAGAAGCTCGAGTCGATGGAGTTCGGGTCTGCTTAGTTCGCCGGCGATCGGAGCTCAAAACCAGGCAGTGGTGCTGTAACGCAAGGATTATACGAACAGCTTGGTCTCAACTGCTTTTCTCCAAGTTTTTCGACCTCTCTCAAAGTTTGATGGAAGAGGCTTTTAAATGGAAGAAGGACAGCTTGACTGCTCCTTGAATTATGGGATATGACCATACATTGTTCGGAGATGTCTTGTTGCCCATTCGTACCACCAGTGGTCATTCGAAGAGCTGCGCTCTGCATCACGTTACGTAGGAGTGAGAAATCCCCTCCTCGTATATGTGACAACGGCTGTTAGATGCTTGCGTGGATCTGACCAACCAACGAGTGCCGGTAGGCTGCTTTGGCACCTGTCTGCTCACTTGTACTGTGGGCGGCTATTCGGCGTGCCTGGAGTACCGTGTCTTCTCTCTTCAGGCCAAGAGAGGTGAGAAAGCAAGTCCCTGGCACTCAAGTGGGTTTGGTCAGTTCGCCGAATGCTGGCGGATCTGTCTCCTGACTCAAACAGCCGAGGTGAGTTGCATTTATGAATGCTCAGGTCGACTCGACACCTGTCCAGTCCTTCGTACTGTGCGTACTGTGAGCGGACGCTTGACGGTCTTAGAGTACTGTGCCCTCTCCCTTTGGGTCGAGAGAGATGGGAAGGCCCATCTCAGCGCGTGGGGTAGCGGGTACCCAGCTATACTGGCGGCCTTGAGGTTTGCAGGCGGATTCGACTTCGGACTCGGGCAGGCGAGTTGCGTGAAAGGCGAATTTCCGCTATTTCAATTGATCTCAACTCGTGCAGGCGAGCCGATCGTTAGGCGAACCTAGAATCGAGTACATTTGACATCTACGCGGTTTAGGCCCGTGCTAGAGAACTGAGCGTGCGAGTTCTTCTCGCAGGCGAATTTCCTGTAAGCCCATAGAGGTATTTTTTACCGTCTACAAGACCCCCTTCAAAGTTTTCAGAACTAAACCGGCTCGCGTGTGGTCTGGAATACTTTGAACGAAGAAATTTTTGGCGAAGCAAGCGCATTTGATTTCTTTTAGGATTTTTAGCAAACCCTCAGCTATCAACGGGTTTGATGTGCTTTTACCGATTACCGTTTGAATCGGGCTAGCCATACTATTCCCCTTAGTATGATGAGTTGCTGAACAGTTTCTCTTAGGCTTAATGCTAAGATTTCTGCTCTAACCCTTAGCCGTCTGAGGCGTGGGTTTAATCGTTTAAGCGAGGTCATTCTATTGGCTTCGTTTGTAATTTTACCTTTAAGGGCGAATGAATCGTCAAGGTGAAATTAGTCTTTGGGAGCCAAATTTCGTGCGACTCGTGGGGTCAGGCCAAGTATTCGTAGCGAACCCCTCCTTTTTGGGGCGGGACCAAATCTGATAGGAGATGAGCCACGTGTCTGCCGATAGGGCTTCGTGCTTCCCAGCTAAGGCGACGCGGTCTTGTCGAGTCGTGGTGATCGTGACTTGACAACATGATGTCAACTTCGTGTGTTTCGCCCCCACGACGCATCGTGGCCGTGGTTTTCAAACCAGGCCGTTAGATCAAGTCGTGGGTTTTGGTTCGGGTTTCGGGCTTTGATCGGCCCGTTCCCCTTTCCAATGGCTCTTTCGCAAATGTAGAACGAGTTGTGAAGGACAATCTGGGCCGTCGATTTCGATCGTGGCCACGTCCCTTGAACGTGAGTGTCTTGCTTTGCAAGTGCCATAAGGGCCACGCAAGCCCTTTCGCCTTTAAATAGGTTTCGTCCTTCTCCTCTTTTTAAAAGTTACTGTGTATGAAAACCTCCCAAAAGAGAAAGAATTCCCGCTTCGTTTCAATGGCGCCGAAATCCAAGAGGTGCAAAGTGAGGGGAAAGGGTCCCGGACGCTACTCCGACCGCCTGGCCGCCGGTGTGACCGCCAATGTGCCTGAGGCGCGCTCGGGTAAGTTGAAAAAGTTTGCTTTAATGTTCTCGTGTTGGTCACTGCTGTCGTGCCAGGAAGATGAGTGCTGCTCATTTTGCCTTGGTGGGTTAGGCAGTCCCCGCGATTTTGGTAAAACTGCCCCTTTTCAGGCGGATTTTATCTTCATCCGCATTGGTCGATTCTAGCCTTTATAGGCGAGATTAGTCTTTATCAGGCGAAGGTGAACTCGTTTTCTGACAGGCGAGTTTGACTTTCGTCTAGTAAAGGCGAACGTGGCTTATGCAAACG